GATGCACAATAAAAAATTCAATGCTCTACCAAACTGTAAAACCTTGATATATATAACCTATCATAGTTAAATGGAGATCAAACAAATAATTTAAACAGACACATAACTCCACGGAAATAGAAACAATAGTTAAAAGTCCCATCATTTCCCTCCAAAAAAGGGCCTAGGTCCAGATGGATTTAGCACAGAATTCTACCAAATCTTCAAAGAAGAAATAACACCAACACTCCTCAAATTCTTTTCAAAATATAAACTAAAGAAGCATTTCTTAACTCTTTTTGATGAATACCAAAACCACACAAAGATTCCTCAAAAATGAAAATTACAGAACAGCATTCCTTATGACCATAGATGCAAAAATTCTTATAAAATACTTTCAAACTGAATCCCATAACACATCAAAATGATTATCCACCAGGATCATGATCATGATCATCACAGAAATGAAAGATGGATCAATATACATAAATTGATAAACTTAATCTACCAAATAAGCAGACTATCTGACAAAAACCATACAATCATTAGATGTAGAAAAGGCCATTGACAAAAACCAGCATCCATTTGTGATAAAAGCCCTTACATAGAAGGGACATACCTCAGTGTAATAAAGGAAATTTATAGCAAGCCTACAGCCAACATCAACCTATACAGAGAGAAACACAAAATATGGAACACTAAAATCAGGAACAAGACAAGGATATCCACACTCTATAGTATTCACTATAATACTTGAAGTCTTAACTAAAGCAATAAGTTGATTAAAGGATATTAAGGGGATATAAATAGGAAAGGAAGAAGTCAAAGTATTTTTATTTGCAGATATAATTTTATATACAAAAGAAGACACCAGAAGATGGGTATATCTCCTATGATCATGGATAGGTATGATTAATATTATGAACATGGCCATTTTATCAAAAGTGATCTGCAGATTTAGTGCAATCAGAAACTTAAAAATACATTTTAAAAACACAAAAAGGTTAGGATAGCTAAAAGAATCCTGAATAATATAACAACTGCTAGAGATATCACCAGCCCAAATTTCAAGTTGCATTATAGAGCTATAGTAATAAAAACAGAACTGTATTGGCATTAAACAGAAATGCTGATTAATAGAATCAAATTGAAGACCTAGACATAAGTCCATATACCTACAGACACCTGATTTTTGACAAAGAAGTAAAAATACACACTTGAAATAAGACAACATCTTCCATAAATTATTGTGATCAAACTGGGTAGCTCCATGTAGAAGAATGAAAATAGATCCATGTCTATCATCCTATACAAAACTTAGCTCCAAATGGATCAGCCTAAGAGCAGATACTCTGATTCTGATAGAAGAGAAAGTGGGTAATATATTTGAACTCATTGGCACATGAAAAGACTTTTGAACAATTTACTGATAGTACAGACACTTAGATGAACAATTAATAAATTGGACCTCATAAAGATAATATGATTCTGTATGGCAAAGGACACCATCATTCAAGCAAAGGAGCAACATACTGAATGAGGAATATCTTTACCAATTATACATCTCATAGATAATTAGTACCTAAAATATATAAAGAATTTAAAAACTAAACATCAGGAAGACAATCCAGTTTTAAAACGGGGATAGGGAACTGAGTAGAGAGTTCTTAACAGAGAAAGCTCAAATGGATGAGAAACACTCAGACTCTAAGTCTTAGAGAAGTGATCAACATCCTTAGCCATGAGGGGAATAATAAAACTACTTTGAGATTTCATCTTACATCCATCAGAATGGCCAAGATTAATAAAACAAATGACAGCCCCTGCTGTTGAGGATGGAGCAAAAGGGAAATACTTATTCAGTGCTGGTGGGCATGAAAACTTGTATAGCCACTTTGGAAATCAATGTGACAGTTCTTCAGAAAGCTGGGAATCAATGTGCCACAAGATCTAGCTATCCCACTGTTGAGCATATATTCCCAAAACTACATCCTACTACAGAGACACTAGCTCATCCATATCCATTGCTGCTCTATTCATAATTTATTCATAATAAATTGGAAATAGCCTGGATACCATTTACTGATAAGTGGATAATGAAAATGTGGTACATTTGCACAATGGAATATTACTAGGCTGTTAAGAAACATGAAATTAGGAAATTCACAGGTAAATGAATAGGGCTTGGAAAAAATCATCCTGAATGAGGTAACCCAGACCTCTAAGGATAAATATTATATTTCTTCTCTTATATGTGGATGTTAGCTTTTAAGCTTTCCATATGTGTACTATAATCTGAATAGACACAAATGTTAGGTACTAAGTAAGGGACTAGGGGGTGGTAGAGGCTCTCCCAAGGAAGGGAGAAAAGCATAGAGTGGTGTTTGGAAACAGAGACAAAACTAGAATAGGAGGGTTAAGTAGGGAGGAGATGTGGGGAAGGACAACTAACACCTTAGGACCATTTGAAGAACTGTGTGTCAACTCACTGTTGTATATTCTTCCTAAAGCATATACATATATGAAAGAAATCTAAATAAAGTTACCGAATAGCAGGGAATTCAGTGCTCCAACCGGACATTTTATGCTACCAAGTGAAACTTCCAGTTCCTAGAAATAAGTTACATCATGTTGGGTCTTTGGCCAAAGGGGCCTCAACAAAATTACCAAACATCACAGGCTATGGCCAAGGCTATTGGTTGCTCTCAACAAGCTGATGGTAAGGCCCTATTTCTGAAGACAACACCTGTGTCATCAAACACGAAGAAATAGAGCTGGTGCTTAACCAGAAGTGTTACCCTGGTAACTAGCATTTGTGACACTTGAAGGTACTCTACATGCTACTGTAGGGGAAAAGGAATCATTAATATCACACAGGTATAAACTCTGCAACCTGAAACAGTGATTTTCCTGCAAGCTATAGTGGTACATCCGTGGCACAAGTGTTACAGGAGTATCCAACCACTTTTTTTTTTTCAAGCACACACCATAAGATGGAACCTGTACTTGATATTGCTCAAGTAGTCCAGAACCTAAGATTAGTTAGTTCATAGATCTTGGGAAAAATGTACTCATATTAATCTTCTAAAGGAACATAACAAAAAATGACTCCTTATGTCACATTGTCATTTCCATAGATCAGTGCTTCACACAATCATCACAGAAGCTTCTTGCCATATAGTGGAATTAACATTGAGATCCACAAAAGGACAATGTTCAGAGAAAGAGACTTTGGAACACTGAGTCCTAAATATCATTTCTTCTCCAAACTCTTTCTTCTAGGATCAAGGATCTATGTAGAAGAGTAGGCAGAAAGTGTAAGAACCAGAAGTGATTTATGACTCCAAGTAAACTGTGTTTTGCATACACAGTGAGATTGTTGCACATACAAACTCACAAAGACTGTAGCATGCACAAGATCTACACAAGTTTAAGCCAGATGGGTCCCTGTGCTGAGAGGAGGAAGTGGACATGGAGACCCATCACTAACCAAGAGGCTATCTGCAGTTGATGATGACAGCTGGCAAAGGGGAAATCTTTTTTTTTTTTCCAATGGAGTCTCACTGGGTACATGAACTACAGTTTAGAGCAGTTCCCATGCCCAGGAGTATTTTGGTCAGCACAAAAAGAACTCAGTGGTATCTTTGTGGACTTTTTATTTCATTTTGCCTTTTATTTCACATTTTCTATCTTAGTGGTCTTTCTGTTTGTTTTGGTTTTGGTTGTTGTGTGTTTCTTTATGTGCTTTTGGTTTGTTTGTTTTCTTGTTTTGAGGTGAGGCAGAGAACATAAAGTTGGATGGGTAGGGAAGTGGTGAGAATCTTGTGGGAAGTGGGGAGGGGAAAACATGATTAAAATAAATTGCATGATTTTTTTCAGTAAAAAAGAAACAGTAACAACAAAAATAATTTTCAAAAAGAAATTATGGTCCCAACTTTATAGAAACTAGAAGGAAGAAATTAAATAATTAAACCAAAATGTGTGTAGTAATTATATCTTGATGTGAGACGAGGATTGGTTTGTTCCTGTGTAGTATTATAAAGTGTGTAAAATTTCTATGTAGATACATACTATTTTGTTAATCAGAAAATAATCCTACCTACAGAAGTTGGTTAATATTTTCTAGCTCTGATGATATAAGGAATCCATTAGAATGTAACCTCCATGAGGGGCATCAATTGTTACTGACTTTGTTCAAGAATATTATTTGGAAGAGTATGGCTTTTATAGATACTTGAATAAATGCCTGAGTGCAAAAATGAATATATGCCTCCATTTCCAATGGCAATTTTAGGAAGTAAATACTATGGAATTATTTGCTTTCATGTGTGTATGGATTTAAACAGTTATTATATAATCCATTTTGAATGCCTATGTTTAACATGCCTTCACAGAGGAGATTCCTTTCTTGTAGAGTTTGCTTGGTGGGGAGAGGGTTAACTAACAAATGGAAACGTGAGTACTAATGCTTGTGATTTAAAGGACTGTTACAGAAATCTTTTACCATTGGCATATACCTTTAAATCAGTCCTATTTCCTTGGATTTAAGTAAGAAAACCATAATTAACCTGTTAGCAAGTGTCATTTTTCTATGCAATGGAAGTATTTGTAGGCATATCATTTACAGAAGACAAATGTGGTTCATGAATCCTTAGGCTTTGATTGCTGAAATGGAATTGATGTTAAGGTTGAATGATTATCAAAAAATGACATTTGAGAAATCATATAAGACATTATATTGTACTTCACAGTTATCCACAGAGGAAAGGCTTTCAAGTAATTTTTAATATGAATGCAACTTAGAGATAAATCATCCATGAAACAATAGGTGCCTTGCTTTAAATTTTGTCTTTCTTGTGTATTTTCTCAAAATTGCAGTGGGATATGAGGGATTGATGGTAAGAGTCATTTATAACAATATTTTTTGTTAGAACTTGGTGTGAAATAACTTAGTATCAATGTATGCAGTGGTGTGGTGGATATCTAACAGAGAGCTTTTTCTTCATCCCCTCCCCCACCAGGATTCGGTATTTCCCACAGATATGCAACCAGATCCGAACTTGACTGCATATAAAGAAAACCTTTGTCCAGCAAAATTTGACTACAAGCTAAACAATATTTTTAGACTTCATGACCTCCCCGTGAGCTGGTAGGACGCTTAAAGTTTTATTAATGCTTTTGAGATCTAATTGTCCTGTCTAAACTGTGGTGCTCTTTTAACTGTTCATGGCATATGTGATTTACTCTTACCCTGTCTGCAAATAGCCACTTGCAGCAAAGGAAGCATCTACTTGTGGCTGCTGACAGATTGTTTAAATTAATGGTTTTGGCACTTGGTGGCAGTACAGACTAAGCATGTTATTGTGATTATTATTGGTGAGGTTATAGTTCCAGCTTAAAATTATACACATGGTTTTAAGAGAGTTTTCCAGGATTATTTTTAACCCAAGATCTGAGAAAACTATGAATTTCACTTATTTTGTTGATTCTAGCAATGTTGATTTTCCTAGTAATATAATTTTTAATTTGTTCCTTTTGAAATCATAATTCCATGAACTCTAGTCACATTGATTTAAAGAAAAAACATACGTTACATTCATTAAACTATAATTACTTCATGAATCTGAACATTTATATTTATGAAAAATGTATTTACTTTGTATCTTTGAATATTGATATGGTTGTTAAGTTTTTTTGCGAAGATATCGCTGTCAGTAATCCGTAACTATAAAACAAAACTTTGTGGGCCACCTAAACTTCAGTAAATAGTTTTTGTTGATAATCATGGATATTAATTATGGTTCAGGTAAATAGTATGGCTTTCTTGCATTTTTAAATATAATCTAAGGTATATGCAATTTTTCTTCAAGAATCTATGGTTTGAGTAAAATCATATATGGGAAACAATTATGTAATTATCCATAAACTTCCTAAGCAAGACTAATGTCTTGTACCTGTCATAACTACATATATTTTACCTTCAGTTCTTCTCTTTTCCATTTGCAATATGTCCTTTGCTTTTTATGATATATGGTATTGTATTTTGATGAATTATGATTATAGCAGTATATATATAGTATATATATATATTATATATATATACTGAATAATATTTGATTATATCTTAGGAAGAAGAATGTTATCTATGATGTTTTACTTAAGTGCACAATAGATTTGATCTTAGTGACAAGATCAAAACCCCTAAGTCAGTGAGTTGGAAAGTTCAGTTAATATTTAAAGAGAATCATAAAAATGATACATTCATCCCTTAAGGTTCTATATAAAGTGAAAAATACAGCTCTGCGTGTGTGTGTGTGTGTGTGTGTGTGTGTGTGTGTGTGTGTGTATGTGTGTGTACAAGCCTATGTGTGTCTTTTGAAGTAAGGTCATGACTTTTTCAGTAACTGTGTTCTAACTAGATATGATTCTATATGCTAAGCCAATAGTGAACCATCTACAATTTTGATTTAAAATAAAAAATATTTTATTTTCACAGATTTTACTTATCTTCAACAGTGGGTATAATTTGAATTGGTATAAAAGAGCCCTGCTTATTTTAGAATTGTATTTTAAGAATTTTCTACAGTACACTCCACTCATGAGGCCCAGACAATGGCAAGAATATGAATACTTATTTTGATAATAAAAAGAGAATTATAATAGAACATGACTCTCTAGGAAGAAATACTCCTGTTTGCACAAATGTCCAATAGTCTGTGTTCCAAAGGAAATGCATGTATTGAGTTCTCTTTTTTCTTTTTTTGAAAATAGATTTTTTTCATACAATATATTCTGATTATGGTTTTCCCTCCCAGTTCCTCATCAACCCCTCCCATCCAGATCTGTAACCTTTCTGTCTCTCTTTGGAAAACAAGCAGGCATCTAAGGAACAGTAATAAAATAAAATATAAGCAAGTTGGAATAGGAGAAAACAAAAAGAAGAAAGAGTCGAAGAACAAGGGCAGGAATCACATACAGACAAGGAGACTCACATGTTCACATACAGAGAATCCCACAGAAACAGACAAGGAGACCCATGTGTTCACATACAGAGGATCGCATAGAAACAGACAAGGAGACCCATGTGTTCACATACAGAGGATCCCATAGAAACAGACTAGGAGACCCACGTGTTCACATACAGAGGATCCCATAGAAACAGACAAGGAGACACACGTGTTCACATACAGAGAATCCCATAGAAACAGACGTGTTCACATACAGAGGATCCCATAGAAACAGACAAGGAGACACACGTGTTCACATACAGAGAATCCCATAGAAACAGACAAGGAGACACATGTGTTCACATACAGAGGATCCCATAGAAACACAAAGCCAGAGGCATAATATATACACAAAGGATGTGTAGGGTTAAAGAAAAGAATGCCCCGACTCAGCATTATGAGACAAGAAACCTTTAAAGATGCAGTTGAGTTTGTTTTGTTTTCTGTTGATGATCTAGAGCTGGGCAGCAGCCTACCCTTAAGAGTGGTTTGTTTCTCCAGTGAGACTCCCTTAGAGGAAACTGAATTATCGTTTGTAAGTGGTTATCGATTGGAGATAACTTCTGGGTTGGGGATGGGGGTGTGTTTCTACTTCTTTCAGCTCTAGGACCCCATCTGGTGCAGATCTATGCAGACTCTGTGCATGCTGCCCCAGCCTTTGTGAGTTCATATGAACTTCAGCCCTGTTGTGTTCAGAGGGCCTTTTTTCCTTGGTGTCCACCATCCCTTCTGGCTTTTAAACTCTTTCTGCCTCTTTTTCCATGGGGTTCTCTAAGGCTTGTGGGGAGGGATTTGATGGAGACATTAGTTAGGGCCAAGTGTTTCAAGGTCTCTTACTCTCTGCACATTGTCCAGTTTTGGGTCTCTGTATCTGTTCCCATCTATTGCAGGAGGCTGCTTCTCTTATGATGGCTGAGCAAGGCTCTGATCTATGAGTATAGCACAAAGTTATTTGGAATCATATTGTTACATTCCTTTAGCAGAACAGTAGTATTTGGGTGTCTCCTAGGTCCATGTTCTATCTAGTCTCAGGTTCTTGGTCACCCTAGCAGTGTCGAGTTTGGGTTCCATCTCCTGAAGTGGACCTACGTCAAATCAGATATTGGTTGGTTACTCCCACAAACTTTGTGCAACCATTGAACCAGCATATTTTTGCAGGCAGGTCACCATTGTCGATTGAGGGCTTTATGGTTGGGTTGGTGTTTACCTTTCTCCTTTGGTAGCATGCAGAGTACCTTTCAGTACCATAGGGCGAAGGTCTAGATAGGCACCAGTTCGGCTTTTCCATGTTCAATGAATTGTGTAAGCCCTGTCTTCAGCAATAGTGCAACCGTCTGTTTGTGGAGAGGAACCAATAACTTTGGCAGTAGCCAGGCTATCACCATCTACAATTTTAATTTGTGGTTTCTTTAATCTAAAACAAGAACACCAGACTCTCAGAGGATGATTTCCCCCACCTTTTCATGGTAATTTAGTTTTCACTGATAGCAATTCTGTTTCACATACTCATATTTCATCTCCCAAATTAATAGCTAATTACATTACAATAGCAATTCTTGGCTTACCGAGACATATAGTAATAAACTATTTGACTCCTCATAGTCATACTGCATTGGCTGTGCAGTAGCTGCTGGCCGTGACCACTGAGCTCAAACAGCTGGATGTAGTCAGCACAGCTGGCATGTTTTACAGGGAGAAGGAGCTGGCCAATTAAGATAATGAGTGGAAGTTAAAGGAAAAGCTTTTATTCAATGAAAGAAGAAAAAGAAAGAGGGAAATGGTTACTTTTGTAAAAAACAAGAACCTGGATTTCAGCTCACTTTATTTCCGGCCTCTACAAAGACAGCTGCCCCATAACTATTAGTGCAGCCCAGGGAGGAATTTCATCATCTATGCTAGTTATTTCATTAGGAGAGAAGGCAGTGGAAAGGTGAACCAGTAGAAAGAATGGCGTTTAATCTTTTAGGGTAACTTAGCTTAAGTTGCTGCTTTGGGACTACTGATTTAGGGGGTGTCTGCTTTGTTGGCAGTCTGTTCATTTCTGCTCATGGTACCACCAGGTTTTCCTTACTATATGTTTGTGGGGATCCTGTCTAGTCTAGTCTATCAATTCTTCCTGTTTATTCTGATTTTAACTGTCAATCATTAATTAACCATAATATAAAATTCCAAAGTAAGATTTAGCGTTTCTCTCTTCCTTGAGATGGGGGGCACTAGAGAGATGGATCAGTGGTTAAGAGCATTGCCTATGCAATTCTGAGAAACAGAATTCATATCCCAGGGCACACTTAACAAGCTGGCATCCTGGAAACAGCTGTTGTTCCAACTCTGAGAGATCTGGCATCATCCTGGTTCAGTACCCAGTACTACAGAAAATAAATGCATAGTCTTATTATTTTAATTCCATGTTATAACCCCAAATACATAGACACACATGGTGTCTTGGTAATTAACATATCTTTAGTAAAATGTTTATTGATTTGATTATATGCTTCTTTAGGCAAGAATATTTTCTCGATGGCTAAGGATTAATTTTGCTTTTGTTTGTCAATTAATATCAGTGGGAAGATGTTCTTAAGCTATAGTTTGTAGGATTCATAATTTAAAAATATATAAAAAGGCCATTAGTACCAAAAAGGAAAGAAATACTAATAATACTCATAATATTTTACTGAGTACTAATGAGAAGATTTATCTGCTTTATAGTCACTATCAGAGCATATTTCAGTAAGGAGTTATATTCTTCAGTTTTTGTCAGATACAGAAAGATGGACGGACAGACAGATATACACGTGATGATTGAACACTATAAGAATTACAAGATTTGAATAAGATATAGTTTAAGATGAAAGCAATTAGTAAACAACATGCTATTTTAGAAAAATTCTGAAGAAAAAAATCTCTCCTTTTACAGTTATGCATACAATTTACCAGTAATATAAAACCATATAACCTATGATTTAGGTCAAAATCTCTGTTTTCCCTCTTGAGAATCATGACCTAGGATAATTGCTTTACAGTTTGAAATATTCAAATAATTAATTAGATTGTGTATAAGTGCAGAAAATGCTAATTATGCATTCTTTTTCTAGAAAAACAGATATATCAAACATATTTTCACTAGTATTTTTTACAAGGTCAT